TTCTTATGAGAAACCAATACCTGCCATAGGAAGTGTCTGATCTAAGGCTAATTTACCCTTGAGGTAAACTTGCTAGAGCTTTCTATACCCACAATCTGGCTAACCTAGACTTTGGTAACTTACGCTAAGTCCAAGAACAAGTACTTGCGAGTCAAGGCCACTACCATTACCTACTTCTGCCCTTGTAGAGTTTATCCAAACCCAATACACACTTTACAGACTATTACTGATTTTAATCTTAACAATCCCAAACTACCAATTCAGATAGCCCAGAAGAGCTGTGACCTGCTCCTGGTCCCCACGATTAGGTCTTTTTTCTTCGGTTACTCTTCTGATGGCCTGGTTAGTGAAGTACTTTGTCAAACACTTCAGTCCTATTCAGTTTCACCAGTTCTTTTGGTAACAATCCTTTATATAGTACCATCAAAGATTTGTACTACTTCTCTACTCGGGTCTTGCCAAGCATATTCTATAGTCCTTCCCAGTTTTCTAGGTTTACAATGATCCAAAAGCTTATTTGTATAACTCATATATCACACAAATGCTTCATGATCTCCCAATCCTGTTAGTGCTACCAAGATTACAGAGATCTTGTTCTAACCATTAATCGGATGACAGTAATATCGTACAAGTAGAATTTTTTTAAAATTTGTCACTAGTAGGTTTCAAACCCCTATCTAGTCAACATATTACTTGGAGTGTGACAACTTAACTACTTCACTAAGTCACTACACCCTTCTTTACAACTATTGTTAGAAGTCTAAGAGTAATTTACTTAGTAAAAAAAGTTTTAGATAGAAGCATTGCATTTTCAAAATTTATATATAAAAAAAATTTTTGTTTAGGTATCTTATAGATTGTTTATTAATTTTAATTGGTTAATATCACATATCAAAAATCTTTAAATATTTATTTTTCATTAAATATTTAATCAATTTGAATAATTTTACTATTGTTAAAATTAAAAAAATATATTCTACAATATTTACTTATAAATTAAAGCAATTAACTTAATAAATATTTTTAAAATATTAAAATAAGAAAAATATACTATTAAGATTAGAATAAATATTAGTGTTACACCCCATTATATAAATTATTTGTTACAGGTTATATAACATTTGCAGATCCCGAGTCACGGGTCACAGGTATGTGTACCTACGCGTATTAATTTCGTGACTTTATAATAACGTGATTTTTAGTTCAAGTAATTTCTAACCTAACTTACCTTGCATTATCTTTCTATATTTCGTGGAATTTTCGTTTCTAAGCATTTTTAACAGAAATTAACCGATCTTGTGACGTACCAACAGTCTTTAACCAGTTTTGACGTAAAATATACTATTATATGTTTATAAACTAATAACTTTGCAATTGAACAGGTAAAAGCAACCCTCAAGATGGTTAATCAAGCGGCTAATGCTAAAGCTAGCACCTTATACGTGTTTAATGATGAAGCTAGTACCTCAAACACTGTTAATGCTGAAGCCAGTACTTTTTATATGGTTGTGTCTGATCAAGTGGCTAATATTGAAACTAGTACTTTTTACACAGTTGACACTAATACAAGTACCTTTTATACGGTTTTGACTGATCAAGCGGCAAATGCTAGAATTACCTCTAGCTTAGTTAATGTTCAAACCAGTACTTCATACACTGCTGACCTTGAAGCTAACACCCTCTACGAAAATGCAGTTTATGATGAAACTAGTTTCTCTTGTAAAAGTGCGGTTTATAATGAAGCTAGTCCCTCTTGTGACAATGCGAATGCTGAGGAGGTTAAGAATATAGGTATTAATAATGTTATATAAAAGCCATTATTTGTTTTTCAAATACAATTTAATATTTCAAATTTCAATAACATTTTAAGCAAAATGTAGTATGATTTTTCTTTGTTGAAAGTTGGTTATATATTTGATTCATGGGATGATATTGATTTTTATTTCAAAGCTTATGATCAATATAGTGGGTTTGTTGTCATTAAGAAATGGGTTGAACAACACAATGATGGTGTTATTAGGCATTGATCTTTCGGATGTGAGTTTGGTAGAAAATATGTATCTAAGAAAAGTATTGATATTAATGTTCACCGTAACAAACAATCGAAGCGTCAAGGGTGTGAATGGCATATTAACCTAAGTTTTCCTAAAAAATCTAACTACATTACAGTTACAATATTTTTTAATACCCATAGTCATAAACTCCATCCTGAATAATGTAAATATAGTGCTAAGTTCAGGTCAATAGGAAGTGAAGCGCTGAATGATATTGAATTCTATACAAAAAATGGAAATCTTTCGATTACCATATAGCGTCAATTGCTTAGAGCAAAATATCCAGATGCAACCTTTTTAGATGCAGATCTCGCTAACGCTATTCAACATTACAAAATTAAATCTAAAGATCTTGAAACTGACGCTTTACAACTTTTATCATTTCTTATTGAGAGGCGTTTGGAGGAGTCGGGTTGGAGCGTTGAATTCGAGTTAGATAATGACAACCGCCTTACCCGGCTTTTCTGGATAACTTCTAAACAGATATCTCTTTGGCTCGAATATCATGAAGTCGTTCTTAACGATAATACAGCTAAGACAAATCAATATCAGATGCCTCTTAGTTTGTTCCTTATCGTCGATAATAATACAAGATCCTGTTTAGTTGCGCAAGCATTAGTTTCTGATGAACACTGGTCAAAATCAAAAATATAAACCAAATATCATCAAGCATTCATCTAATCGATAGCTGGCCGATAGTTTGGTGGCTGCTATAAGATTAGAAGGAAGTAAAAATAAGCCGATATATTT